TATATGAGTACGTGCATATCTGACTGTAAATATCTATTTAGATATAAATTTCTACAGCGCCGGTGCAATATACACTTCGCACTAGCAAGCTTACATCACATACCGTCAGTTCGGGGTCCTCATCTTGCAAAGCGAGCCCAGGAAAAGCTTTACGCTTTTCGTCCTTTTCATCCTTTTCAGCAGCGGCTTCAAAGTCATCTGCATCATTCTTTTTGGGCTTGGGCTTCAACTTATTGATTAATCTATAAAGACTACCGCTGAATGTCTCTGTGAACTCACCACCCATTTCAGACAGTGCTGCATGGAACGAAGCTGCTGAACTCTTTTCCTCAACCAAAGAGATCAGGAACTCTGCGAGAGTATTATCACTGTACCCCAGATGGTTCTCTAACTCGGTACATACCTTGCTTACCACCTGTAAGTTCACTAATTTATCAAAATCCTCGTCCATTGTTGCGATATTGCGATGTATATTCTATAAAGTGTACAAATTGGAGTATCAAAATTTATAGTCAACAAAGATCACGGACACGCAGGTAGGAACTCTTATGACAAAGGTAAGCTCTACCGTTAAAATGAGTTTGAAGCTAGGACTGCATAGACATCAGTTAACCTCGATCGTCACTGTCTTGCTTGTATTTATACAGGAGCATAACCTTGAGCAGCAGTATGTAGTCGTATTACGCAAATAGCGGCAAACTGCGAAAAGTCCTTGCACACGCGTCATGCATGACTCATCACTATTGTTTATTTAACCGGTATGAATACAAAATGTATTTATTATAATAGTGAACCACATATTTTAAATACTATTTGACTACGGCACTAGTTGCACTACGCATACCGTCTATCAAATCGCACTTACGACCACGCAGAAGTGGAAGAAGTAAATGACGAGGAGGACGATCTAAATACCACCGAAAGTGGACTGTGAGTTTTCTACGTTAATAGTAATGCATATTATATGCCGATGTGGGGCGCATACGGTAGCACTTATCTCATAGCATACTCCAAAGCATTCAAGCTTACATCCACCATTTATCGAGAAGCAGAACCCGGATATGAAAGTATATGTGCGTTTGCCTCAAGTGTTTACACTGAGCGCCACAGCCGTCTAAAAAAGATTGATGTTTCCGCTACGAAGGTCAACTATGATAATACAGTCATGAACAAGACCCGAATGAATTAGGCGAGAGACACGAGTATCATGAACAACTGTTAGAGCTTAAGAGATAAATATGACTTTACAGATTCATGTATAAGATGTCCTAGAGTATTTCAAAGGAAATGGTATGCGGAGAGATCAAAACATAGCTGTCGCGTTAGTTATATACTACAAAGCGAAATAGCGGTCGCTCTATGAGCTGGTGTCTGTAAATTTCTTGCCCGATCCTAACGCTAAATGAAGTATCTTCGCAATGTCACGGCAGTTCACTTCCCAACACAGAGAGAAACATGTCTCACTTCTTTTAGCAAATAATTAGAAAGACAGATGAGGCTCCTCAAAGGGTGGCTTCATGCCTGTGACAGATGAATTAAAATGTATGGCACACGATTCTAGGCGGTATAAGGGGGTCGATGTTTCACTATTAGGATATGCATATGCAGTATGATTGAGAGTATGAATAAGCCTGTCGATATGTACATGATTTGATCCAACATAAATATGCATGTGTTCAAACATGTTTATATGTAAATGTGTATTCTACAAGTGCATCCTAGCATAAAGACTGATGAAGACTAGTGTACACTAATAAATATAAATTATACACATTTGTATCGAGAAGTTATACAAGTAGAAAATCTCTGCGAATTTATCACGTCTACGATAAAGTTTACGGATGCATACAAATTATATATAAACATTACATATATATACAATCATACATGCATAACGAAGCTTTATATTTATATGATCACTATTATATGTCATACACACACACGCACACACACGAGCGCGCGCTCGCGGACACACACACAAACACACATACTCCACGTCATAAACTATACACACTACAC